TTAGTCATTTTTGTCTAAATTCGTAGTTAATTAGACGGAAAAACTTTGAAATCAGCCGCTAAATTCGTAGCTAATTAAACAAAAAGGACTAAAATGAAACATTTTAAAAGTTAAGGGACCAAAATGACACGAAAAAAAATTAAGGGACCAATGTGAACCCAAAAGTATAGTTAAGGGACCAAAATGAGTATTTTGACTAATTTTTTAAATCAATATTTTATGATTTTTTATAATATTAAAGAGTTTCTCATTCAAAAATGATAAGTTCAATTTCATATTCTTAAATAAAGAAATAATAATACACTGACTATCTAAAAAAAATATAACACTTATAATAATACAACATTTCAGTCTTTTGCGAAGTTTTATATAAAAATCATCGCTCTCCTTTTACTCTGAAAAAAAATATAAGACTTGTAATTGTGCTAACTATATCTAAAAAAATATAAGACGTAATTGTGACTCACTATCTATAAAAATATAAGACTATTTTTTAAATAATTTATTGCTTTTTTCTTTTCTTTTTCCCACTACCATAAAACACATACTTTTACTCTTCAATTTTGTTTTCTATTTCACACACTCGTTCATAAAATAATAATTAAGTTAACCAATATTCAAATAACTAGATTAAGAAATTATGAGATATAATATAAATTCTACAAAAAAATGAAAACAACTTTAAGTCTCTTAAATAAAAGTCTCTTAATAAAAGGAGTGAGATATCTATTACTTGAATCGTTCATATAAAAGAGATAAGCAATTGTTTAAGAACAATTGTAAAGATCCAATTTATTATCTAACAATTATTAAAATAGAAAATTTACTTCTAGGAGAAAAAAGTATGTTCTTAAAATGAGATTAAAAGTTTTCCATTTTCTTTTGCATTTACTAATCATTATTTTTATGCTTAGTCTGTAGCTATCTTTTTCTTTGGTGCCTATCATTATTTTTCAAAAACTAAAATATATTATAAAATATATTACATAAGAATGGGTCCAATCAATTATAATGACGTTTTCATCTAAATTTTTATCCATTTAATTATTTATTATTTCTTAGTAAAAATAACGGATCATGGTTGTTTCCTGCTGTGTGTCTCATGCGATGATATCTGATTGATTTTAATGACAACTTGTATTTTTTAATTATTTCTATTTAAAATTTGTTTGATAAATTATAATCTGTAGGAGATCGATCCATTTCCAAAAATAACATATACTTTCTATAAGCTCTCTCTAATGTCGACCTTATCAACTTTATAATCTTGTAAACAAAACTATATATATATATATATATATATATATATATATATATATATATATATATATATATATATATATATATATATATATATATATATATATATATATATATATATATATATATATATCGTACTTGATCAAATGAGATTGTCAAGACCCACAAATTTCGAATCGAACTGCAGTTGGATGTGAAATAAGGTATCTGCAAGACACTTCGATGTCAAAGTGAGGTTCAGAGCAATGCAAGCAAGTAAGAGTGAGTATGAGAGATTGAATGAATACCTGATCATTTCAAGTGGGAGGATATTTATAGTCCCTAGCGTTGGCCAAGGTCTTCAGTGTTGGTCCACAATGAGGCCAAACAATAAAGACTGTCAGGACTTACGTGTGTATGAAGTCCAATACGCGGCCTCCTTTCTGATCAACCGTCCAAAAAAAGCAGGAGTTGGATCTGTCATTCTCGAAGGACAGATGATGATGTCATTGGCATGTGATCTACGTTCCCTAACGACACGTGGGGGATTGCCCCAATAATCCCCAACTTAAGTTGCATGCCTTTGGGTATTGGACAAAGACGCTGAATTGGACCTCTCCAACGGTGGGGCAAGTGCTGATCCAATCAAGAATATATATATATATATATATATATATATATATATATATATATATATATATATATATATATATATATATATATATATATATATATATATATATATATCAAAGTTATTGAATCTTTTTTAAAAAAAATTGAAGCCAAAACTAAAGTTAATTTAGTAATTATTAATATTAATTTATTTTTTATTTTAATTTTAATTTAAAAAATATTAACCCAACAACTCCATAATATCTCTTTATCATTTCTAATTAATTAATATACTAGAAATAACTTTAAAATAGGAGATACCTATTTAACTTATCATTTACTAACTTATCATTTATTAACCGGTCACCGCTCTCTTTACTCTATATTATATTCAAATTATCAATATAATGTATACACAACTATTTATATTTTTTTTAGATTAGGTCAAATCGTTCGGTTCAATTGAGAGTCGATAAATTTATTGTTTTGATGTCAATTATATCTTAGCCTTTCTTAATTAATCCATATCATCTCTAAATAATTTATAATCTTTTATTTTTTTAGGTACATATATTGTTGAAAAATTCTATGTAATTTTTATAAAAGACTTTTTATAGTATAAACTTTGACATCACAATTTTTTATATTTTTTTTATTTTTTTATTTTTTGATATTTATATTTTCGATTAAATAATAATTAAATAAAAAAAAGCTAATATACTAAATTTATGTTTCTAAATAACAAAAAATATCCACTTGCTATGTGTTATACTTGATTTTTTTATTATTCTTATTATTATAAGTTAATATTATTTTTTACTCTCAATATTCATTAAAAATAATATAATTTAAATATTAACTAAAAAATAGGATCTATAGTTTTCTTCTCATGGCTAAAAGATAGAAAATTTAATTTTCTTAATCATCTTATGTATAATCCTACTATTCCATTAACTCACAATTTATTCATAAAATTTTATATTAAAAAACTACTTATATTAAAAAACTCACAATTAATTATATAATTTTTTTAAAATATATATTAACAAAAAAAAATAATAATAATATATCATTGAACTTCACGTTGAAATAACTTAAAATTCTCAATTTTTTTCTCCTTTCTCAATCTATTTTTCTGTTTTTCTGTTTTTTATTTTCTTCTTCCACTATTCCTTTCAAAAATTGTTTTTCTATTTTTTTCTTCTAATAATATTGTTTGTTAATTTACAAATTTCAAATGATTTATAGTTTTATCTTTATTTTTTATCGTTATATATGATGTAAAATATAATAATTTAGTCCATTTAAAAGTGATGATATTTTATGTGTAGGTTTTCTATGATTTTATCAAATAGACAGATGATGAAATAACTAGAGCTCATAAGTTATCTTCATTTTTTCAAAAGTTTATTATATATATATATATATATATATATATATTATATATATATATATATATATATATATATATATATATATATATATATATATATATATATATATATATATATATATATATATATATATATATATATATATATATATATATATATATATATATATATATATATATATATATATATATATATATATATATATATATATATATATATATATATATATATATATATATATATATATATATATATATATATATATATAAAAGGAAAACGAACATCCCATTCAAATTTATCTTCTTATTTTTTACTAGTGAGAAATCCGTGCGTCCATACAAATTCTGGTATAGACTGCAGATATATCACCAGTATGTCATGAGAATTTAAATAAATTAAAAAAATCAAAATATTATTGGAAAAAAAAAGAAAAAATAGACTGTAAGATAATTATATAAGTTTTTAAGAACTTCTATTGTTAAGAAAAACTATTAAACACAAAATTTGAAAAAAAATCAATTGTGAAAAATAGAAAGAAAATTTTTTTTTAGGACTTATAGAGTTGTAATAATAAAAGGATTTATAAAGTTTAATAAATGAGATAAATAAATATTCAAAATTAAAATTAGTTGAAAATCAGTAGAAACATAATTTTACATAAAAGTCGAAAAACATAATGATATAAAATAATTAAGTTTAATGTTGTATTTATTAAAATTTGAATTATGGTTTAAAATATAAAAAAAAAATGTTAAAACCCGTGCGTTCGCACGAATATTGGTATGATTACCCGTGCGTTCACACAGTACTGGTGTGCTACCCGTGCGTTCACACGGTACTAGTGTGTTACCCGTGCGTTTGCACTGGTATTGATGTTGTACGTGCACTTTTATTTTTAAAATATAATAAAATAGATAATATCAAATTTGGACCGTGCGTCCGCACGGAGTGGACCGTGGAATTATCACCAGTTTGATTTTAAAATTCAAATAAAATAGAAAATATTTAAATTTAGTTGTAAAAAAAAATAGTAAAAGATAAATATATAAGTTAATTAAATCAATGATTGTTAAGAAAAAATATTAAGCACCTATTTAGAAATTGACAATTGTGCAAAATAGATAAAATATAAATGTATTTCTTAATACTGGTTACCCATGTGTTCACATGATACTGGTGTGTTACTCGTGCGTTTGCACAAGTATCAGTGTAGTGTAGTACACGCTTTTGTTATCAAAATGTAATAAAAATGTAAATAAGAAAAATAAAATTATTTTACCAAAATAGTTTATTATTTTTGAAAGAAAGACATATTTTTAAAATAAAATAAAAATTTGTTTTACCAAAAATATTTTACATCAATAGTATATATTTTAATTTTCTATAAATCATCTTAAAAAAATTGTATCTTAAATTAAAAATAATTTTAAAATAAAAATATTAGATACATAAATAATTAAAAAGCAACACATTTGTCTTGTGTTTGGATTTTGGTATTCTTTTAAATATATTTATTTTTATTTTATTTAATTATACAAAAAATATAATAACTTGTGCGTACGCACGAATTTTAATATGGTTACTCGTACGTTCACACGATATTGATGTGTTACCCGTTTGTACTGGTACTGATGTGTTACGTGCATTTGTTTCCAAAAAAGATAATAAAAATGAAAAGAAAGAAAGCAAAATTGTTGAACCAAAATAGTTAATTATTTTTAAAGAAAAACATATCTTTTTTTTTATATATTTGGATCATAAATATAATATTTTCATATATAAAAATAATTGGATCAACCATATATTTTCTGGTATCGAAACATCCGTTGAAAGCATGATCAGCATATTATATAAATTATGCCAATATGTATGATACAATTTATTCAACAATATTTTAAAATGTTGAAGAAAAAAAACTAATTTTATAGTAAGACCTGACATAGGACAACCTCAGCCCTACTGGATTAACACATTACACACCTACAACATGGCGTAAGATATTTCCAGACAAAAAACTTAAACACCGGTATTACTGAATAATGAATATGTGAAATGAACTTTTATATTAGCCTACCCTGGTAATTTGATAAAAAAGTACTCCACCTTCACATGATTCAAGTGCCATGTCTTCTCCAATGCAAATAGAACAGATAAAAAAAGAGATTATTTCAAATATCGCTTAGAGGAGTATGCCACTGAGAGAATAAGCCAAAATAGATACCCAAAATTACTTACACAAAGAAAATGAGTCTTGAAATGTGAAATATAGTTGTTCAATACCAGAATGATCCAATTGATCTAGCACTATGCATTCCAAATTCACATATGCAGTTTTGTTCTCTTTGGTAATAACTTTGTTGTCCATGATCTTCAATGCATACACAACTCACATGTCTTTCTTCTTTGCCCTCACAACCTTCAGACACATAAGAAAGCAATCCACTCAAAAAAATGTCTGGCATATAAAAATAATAATATGCTAAAATAAACAAATTGTGCTTTAAATTTCACTATTTTTTTAGATAGCCTTAGCCAACATAAAAATTGGGAAAAGAAATTAAAAAAATCCTAAAAAAGAAAGACAGTAGAAAGAGAGTGCAGGTGCAAGAGCAAAAGGGGCATAAGCAAAGGAGATGATCATATCTACATAGAAGTTCACGACAATGTCCTTTGAAACCAAAAATTTAGAAACTCAATGTTCTGTGAAGATAATCATATACCCAAAGTCAAGAAAAATAAATCATCCCAAACGGTTGAAAGAATAACATAATTTTTATTCAGACAGATAAAACTATTGATGAATTTTAAAACCAAAATACCCAACCAAAAAGAACTCACCACGTAAATCAGTTCAGGAAAAAAAAATAGAAATAGTTTAAATACTGTTCAGAAAAAGCCCAACCTCCAAGCGTGTGCAAGGTATTCAACGGAGGCTTTTGATGTGTCGCATCCACAGATGACTTCCTCAGCAGCTCCACCTCCAAGCAGAACCTGTATGTCAAGACAGATTCAAACTACATAAACCTGTCTTCAATCTTGAACAATAGAGATGATAGCATCCAAAGAGAATTATGTTAAAGCATAATTACATTGGAAATACCTTACACCAAGACTCAATCACAATATTGGAAATGATTCTTGATCTAGAGCTCTTTGAATTTAAGGTTGTTACTCCAAATTTTCTGCTAGAGATGCCCTGGAGCATACAAAAATGAAATCAACTTAACTGATTAAGAGTTTGCTTATTCAAGAAATAACGATATTTGCTTTTAAGCTTCCCACCTTAGTCACAAATTGTGTCACATCATCATAGCTAGTGACATATTCCTCAGTCAGATTCTCCAAGGACAACACATTTTTGGAGTCATCCTTCATTTGTGACAATTTGGACCAAGCCATTATAAGAATGCAACAACAAAACCAAAATTGGAAGTAAATAATGTTTCAATGACAAAGTTGTACTACAAAAGATAGCCATATTGCTTACCTCAAGGTTCCGCTGGGTTAGATCAAGTAAATCCCCAATTTCTTCATTGTATATATGTTACAAACGACAACAAAATGACCATAATCAGAATGAACAACCTACAAAATTGCCACAATGGTAGAAATCTGGAAAAGAATTACCTCAAGAAAACAACACTGACACTGATAGTTAAACTATTTCCCCTTAGACATGCGTTGTTCCTAACATTGTTTGTCCATCAACACTAAATGTAATACATGTTTAGGAACCAATACCCTGTCAAGGGGTTAGTTCCTTGGCCAGCAGCTTCATGTTTGCTTCATGACCATACATCTCATACAATCTGCAAGCCACAAAGAAAACCTTCAATCTACATATGTATGATTTTGCCTCCAAGAAGATCAAATCAACCACAAAAACTCTAAATTTCATCAAATCACAAAAACTAACCACAAAATCATCAAATCAATCACAAAATCCCTAAAACCCTAAAATCAAAACCCTAACTTTCTAAGAAAACCAAAAAAATTCGGATGAACCATACTTGCTCTAAAAAAACAACATTCTTTTTCCTTTATGTCCAAGGGTAACACCAAACAAATTCGCAAGCTTGTTGAGACCATTATGCAAAATAAAAACAAATTAATCAAAACCCTAAAATATAATAAAAATCATATAAAAATTATTTCCTTTTGTAAGTAACTAACCTGAAGCTTCTTCATAGCTAAGTCATCTTTCTAAAGTCATGAAGATGTATAACCGTAGCTTTGAGAAGTTACAAAGTGACATCTTTAGATTCGAGTTTGATCGATTTTTCAGCATCGGCTAGGACTTCGTTAGTGAGGCTGTTCATACTGTATCTGAATTTGGTTTTGGAAGAGAGACTTTGTGTGAGAAGCTGAACGCCTCACACGTCAGCCGCCATGACTGTCTACAATCCAAAGCATGGATAAGAAAGATACGAGGAAGAAGGAGATGAAGTTGATAGTGCAACAGGAGAAGAAGAAGCAAGAGAAGGTTGAAGAGTAGGAAAAGGAATAAGGAGAAAGAAGATGAAGCAGTGCACAGATGAGAGATAAAGGGAAAAACAAAAAGGATGAGAAATAGAAAATAGAGAAGCAGGGAAAGGACGAGAGAGTCAGAAAAATAAAATTTTGAATTTAAAATTTTGAATTAAAGAAATTGAATTAGAACCATGTGACATCATCATCTGATCCAAACTCACCAAACAAAGGTATAAAATACTAACTATGTAATTGGGCTTGAACCAGATGACATGATTAGTTGTAAAAAGTTAATTTAGGACATAAAATGCCCTTAATTTTGTGAGGTGGAAGATGTAGAGGTTGGGGCAGAAAAATAAATTCCCCAACTTTTAATTTTCTTATATGGTAGATATTCTTTAAGTATTTATTGTTAAAGTTCTCTTTGTCTTGATTTTAAAGTGTTTGATCAATTGTGCTCTAATCAAAGGTTCATAATAAATTGATGTAGAGAGTGTGGATCGATTCAACCATGAAATTTGCAAAGTATCACGTTGAAAAATTCACATTGCAATCATCTTGAGTCTTGGAGACAAGGTACTGAGGCAAGTCTCGTTGGAGAAGGCAACAACTAAAATTTGACAGAAATTTAAAGGTTTGTACATGACTAAATTGCTGGTAAATCGTCTTTATCTTAAACAAGCCTTACATTCATTTAAGATGCAAGAATATATAGTTGTTGAATCTCAATTGGATGTCTTCAATAAACTGATTATTGATCTTGAAAATCTAGATGTGACTTATTGATGATGAAGCTCATGTCTTGTTGCTACTGTGTGTTTTACCTATGTTTTTCTCTCATTTCAAAGAAACTCTCTTGTATGGGAGATAATATTTGTCCTTAGTAGAAATTCAATAAACCCCAAAATCAAAGGAATTGAATGAAAGAAATGAGCAAAAGGATTTTGTGAGTGGTGAATGTTTAATAGTCCGAGAGAAACAAACCAAGAAAGACAACAATCGTGAGAAGAAGAAATTAAAACCATTGGAAATAGTGGTAATATGCCTTGTATAAGATGTTACCAATGTAATAAAGAAGGTCACACTTGAAGATTTCATCTTGAATGACAAAATGGTTACAATTTTCACAAATCGAAGGAAGGAGGAAATGCAACTATAGTCCAAGATGAGTATGAATCTGCAGAAGCTTTAATGGCGACCTTTGAGAAATATCATGGAGAATGGGTCATGGATTCTAGGTGTTCCTTCCATATGACACCAAATAAGTCATGGTTTGAGAAGTTTACTCATCTATAGTGAGGGTCAATATTACTTGGAAATAATAAGCCATGTAAGATTCTAGGTATTATATCAATAAGGTTCAAATTGCATAATGGGATTGAAAAGATTATCCAAGATGTGAGATTTTTTCCTGACCTTAAGAGAAATCTAATTTTTATTGCTAAACTAAATAAATAAATATTATTTGTTTGAGGTGAAAATGACATATTGTAGGTTATAAAGGACTCAAGGCTTTTCAAGAAAGGTGTACGAAAGCATGGATTGTACTAATTTAAAGGATATATAGTAGTTGGGTTAGTATATTTAGTTTCTTTGAGAGACATGTCAAGAAATAAGTTGTGGCATACAAGGTTAGGGCATGTGAGTGAAAGGGGTATGGTAGAGCTCTGTAAACAAGGTTTTCTATGTGGCGACAAAGTGGAGAAACTAAATTTTTACGAACACTGTGTTTATGGTAAGGTTTGTAGATCATATTTTGAGTTGGTCAACAAAGAACTAAAGACACCTTAGATTTAATACATGCTAATTGTAATACGGTGGAAGAAGTAACTTTTGGGTTTGCGTTTTATCGCAAATGTTGCGGATAGCAAGATTCGCCACCGACTTTTCTTTTACCCAGTAAAGGAAAGGGTGAAAAGAATAGGAAAGACATTTTGATAATTTTTCTGAGTTCGGGGAGTAGGTTATGAAAAGGGAAGGTGTTATCACCCTTTTCACCCGTAGTTATCTACATGCCTTAATTGCTAGCTTCACTTTTGAAATGCTTTGTGTTTGTGTATATTTGAAAATATTTTTGAAAATGTCGAAGTACGGCAATTTTGTAATGATTCTCGTATCGTTGAGAATGTATACAAAATGTTTGTTTTGAAAATATCTATCGAAAAAAATGTTATTTTGTGAAAAGTGTTTTGAAAATACCAATGTAAGGCAATTTGCTTTATAATGACCCTTGTATCAGTCCTCAAGAGTGTTTTATAAAGCGTTTTGAAAGCAGTTATTTTGAAAGTGTGAGGTGTGAAGATTGTTTTAGTTTGTGAGCAAGCGATTATGAGCGATCTACCTACTCAAAAAGTCTTTGTTCTTTTCCTCCTCCTTTAGATAATGCTACCATACTATTAGTTAGTAGGAAGCCCCATTATTGGATGTGAGGGACAGGTGCGGGTCATCGTACAATCATAAAAGACAACTCGTAGGATGCTTTAGTAATTTTCAAAGGGACTAAGATCGTTTACCGAAGGCAGCATCGAAGGGCAATCGAGGGACTACGATCTTTTAATCGAGGGTCTTTTCTAAAGCATTCCATGTTCGAGGGACATGACTGCTTAAATCCGAGACAACGAGTGAGGGTCACCCTAGAGGTGCGTGTGTGCGAAGTGTTTTGACTTCAAGTATTTGTCTTGAGATTAAGTTTTTTCTAATGATTGATTTTAAATTTTGCCATACAAACCCTAATTACTAACAGTAATTGATCTGACCTGATCAGACTTGGACCGTCACGGTTGGCTCCGAGCTGAAAGTTTTGAATGAGGTGGGGGGAGGGGGGGGTACCTGCAAGACACTCCAATGCTGAAGTAAGTAAGAGCACGAGCAGGCAATAGTAAGTATGGGTATAATGATGAATACCTGACCCTCTGGAAACAGAGGGTATTTATAGCCCCCAACGTTGGGCCAAGGTTCCTTCATTGGGCCAGGCAGGTTTGGCCCAATGGAGGAACTGCCAGGTTCTACGTGCGTAGTGGGGACCCACACGTGGTCCCCTCCCTGGATGTTCTGCGTGAAGTGCGGGCGGACAGAGACGCGGTCTTTTCGGAGCCTCGTTGAGAGTGCAGTGGACTGGGTCTGCCCTAGGAGGGGTGCTCGAGGTGATGTCGAGCTGGAGAGTATGAGGTCGAGCAAGTAGCTTCAGGGAGCTCGTCGGGCACGACTGTGATCCCTTGCTCGGCGTGGTCCCCAGCGAGTCCGTTTGGATTGGGCTTTCTCAATACTATTGGGCCAGTCGGGGCCAGTCCAGAACAGGAGCCCCCCAAGTCGTGGTTCCTTGGGCAAGGAGCCATGGCTTGATCTTAAGTTGCCTCTTTCTCGGGGCCTCGTGCCCGGGTCAGAGACGCCACTCCTCGTGGGGTGCTCCTCGCGGAGAGTGCTCGGGGATTCCTCGACGGCGAGTCTGTCGAGCACGCGAGGTATCTCTTGGGAGCTGTGCCGCCACCCTATGAGGATAGGGTCATCATTGCCTAGGGAGTCGTGCGTCGAGGAGAGAAACTCTATGGTTGCCCGAGGTGACGTTTGGTATTCCACGTCATCACTATAAATAGGATCCTTGGGCCCCATAACGCGTTACTACTCTTCGCGCTCCTGCTGCTGTTGTTCTTCCAGATTTTCATAGCATAGCTGCGATTTCCGTCACAGATTTCTTTCCTTCGTTGCCGAATCTACTCTTTGATTCCAAGTAAGTGACTTATCTTCTCTGTTTTTCTGTTGTGATGCATGATTTTCATCGTTGTAGACGTTTTAGGGACTGTGCGCGTGGGACTAGCCCGGTAAATTCATGTTTAGCTCGACAAATTCATGCTTAGGACCGGCAAACACATGCTCGTGGCCGGTAGATACATGGTTTAGGTTATAATCTGCAGTGCTGCTCGTGGTCTTCATGATCCAGGGCGCCTGATTCATGATCGTGCCCGGTATGTTCATGGCTCTGGCTGTAGGTTTTATGATGTTGCTCGCCATGTTCATACCTTGGGTCGGCATATTCGTGAGCGACCGCGTTGTTGGTTTGCTTAGGCGGCTTGGAGAAGGTCCCGTCGAGTTATCTGGACGTCGGGGAGGCGACTGTTATTTTGTTTCCAACTAACTTTATGGTCGCGCGTGGAGCGACATGGTTTGTCGCGCACTACATCTGGTCCGTTACGTCGAGCGCATGGTTTCGTGCCCAATTGACTGGTTTCCCGTGCTCTACAGGTAACCATGGCGGACGAGCCGTGCTCTTCTGGACGCCCCGAAAGGGAGGAACAAAGTGCCGATGAGGCGGTGAGTTTGATTGACACTGTCGAAGACCCTCTGTTGGACTGGGTGGGCGCCGAGCCTAGAGGAATCGCCTCGATCTATAGTCGGCGTAACCGAAAGCCATACGCTGTCCTTGAGGCGAGCCACGGTCAGCCTGATTTTCAAAAGAATTTCGTCGTTATGCGACCGACCTCCACTTCTCGGATTTGCTCGGTGTACCCCGAGTACAGTTTCCCCATGTACGAGATTGCGTTCAAAGACCTTGGGCTGCAGCTGCCCTTCAGCGACTTTCAGGCTGGGGTCTTCGCTAATCTAGGGCTGGCACCGTCGCAGTTACACCCGAACTCGCTCGCCTTTATCCGGGCATTTGAGCTGACATGTCGCTTTCTGAGGGTTGGGGCGACTATCCCTCTCTTCTTCATAATCTTTCATCTGCAGCGCCAGTCCCGGGGAGGGAAGCACAGCTGGGTCTCCTTGAAGCAGTCGAAGAGACTATTTAAGATGTATATGGACTCCGTGCGGGGTTTTAAAGACAAGTGGTATGTCGTGAGACCGGTTACCACTG